ACGCCGGGGCGCTCATGGCCCCCCCTCCAGACAGAGCACGGGGGGGCTGCGCTGAGCCCCAGCCCGGCTCCATCTCTCTGCGGGGTACTGGGGGCACGGGGAAGCTTCCAGCTGGGTCGGTACATCACGGGCTTCGTCAGCCCGCGGGGGCAGAGGGAACGCTGGGGCCCTCGGAAAACACAGCTGGAAACACCTGGGGCCCGAGAGCCCGGGAAACTGCTGGGAGAGAAACGACCGTCTGCTCGGGGACAGGACCCTTCTTCAGTCCCTGTAAGAGAGATGTGTGCTGAATCCAGGCAGCGTGTGAGTGTGAGCAGTCCGGACACGCCACCTCTGAGGTTAATCCTCTTCCCATGTTCGGAGTCAGATCCTCCTTACGGGTTTTTAACAATTAGCGTTCGGGGAACGAGCAGCCCCCGGGGACAGCCCGGGCTGGTGAGCTGCAGCCGATTCCCGTGCGGGGTCCCTCACGCGTGATGCGTGTCTATGAAGCCTGAAATTGCTTTGGATACGTGGCTGTGCTGCATCGCGTTCGGCAGTGCCACACTGGAGCGGCTGATGCACGGTCAGCAGCGGTTTGAGGGGACAGGAAAGCAGATCCTGCCACGCTGCTGGTCTGTCACAATCAGAAACCCATTGATGGACCTGAGAAATTATTCCCAGTTCCTTCCCAGAAAGTTTGTTTCAATAATTCTGCAAGTTCTGTTTACTGCCTTTGCGCTGAGCCCGCCCACGGTCCTGCCGCGGTGAGGACATCCCGCACTGCTGCGGTCAGGCAGGGACAGCCCGGGAGCCCGGGGAGCACCGGGCAGAGGCTCCCGCATGTCTTGGGGGTGCGAGGACTGCCCGGGCAGCAAAAAGGGCTCTCGACAGAACGGGTGCTGAACGGTAGGAGCCCCCAGCAGTCCTCGGCACTGCCTTCCTCACCCGTCGATTTACAGGACAATGTTGTTTCTGTTTGGAGAAGACCAGCGGGCATTGACATCAGACACGGGCTCCACTCAACGCCCGGCTGAAGGAGGGACCAACTCCAGCTTCAGCCGCATTTACTTGTGGAGCGTTTCATGGTAGCAGCTCCTTGGGGGAAAGCACAAGGAGAAATTTCTTGGGAACATATTTGTTGTTGCTTTTCCCTTTTTTTTTTTTTCCCCCTGGTGATATTTATTGCCTTCTGGATTTTGCTGCTTTCACTGCAGTATTATTGCATCTGAGACTATGACAGCCCCACACTGGTGGGCAGTCGTTGGGCGTTTTAGCTCCATTCCCAGTGCACAACCTCGTGCTCCTGAGAACTTTGTTCTACTTCTCACCAGTGTTATCTCATTTCTCTCCATCGGTACAAACACCGGCCCCGGAGGGACCTGGGCCATTGGTTGGATAAGCAGAAGCATCTGTTCTCAAGGCCTTCCCAGGGGAGACATGTCTTGTGCGGAAGCGCTCTCCTCCTGCGCTCCTGCTCGGGGACATGCCGAGCGGCACCCTGGAGGAACGGGCGCTAAATGAAGCGTACTGGTCCAGATCGGCCCGTTTGCTGATGCCGCCCCCAAAACAGAGCCCATCAGAAGAAGACAAATCTCCTTGCTGCAGCCAGCCCTGCTGTTCAACAAGACAGGCATTTTGTGACCTCAGAGAAAAAGTACACAAAATTTGGGGCAGGAGAGGTCCATGAGACGGAGGCAAGAGCTCTGGCGTCCCCGGAGGAGCGCGGGCTGGCTCCAGCCGCAGTGCGAGTTCTTTCAAAACGAGTATTTCTTCCCGGATGTCACATGGAAAGAGACTGTCAGAAAGCTGTCTAAATGTGTTAACAACACTGTCAGCGGGGGAGAGAAAAGTGTTATCAGAAATAGTTGTTCTTCAAAGCTAAGTAACTCAGTGATTTTATAAGGAGTAAGAGATAAGAGATCACACCACACACTGAGGGCTGTTGGAATATTCTTTCCGAGAATTAAGCTGTTTGTTTTGTTAAAAAGGGGAAGAGGGGAGAAAGCGAAAACCTAAAATACTTTGACTTTCTTGACTTAGCTTTCGAGAAAGCTAAAAATAACTCCGATTGCATTCAGCCCGCCCCGCCGCAGCTCAGGATGGGCTGCAGCACTGGGAGAGGATTCCCACCCCATTGCCCCGGCTTCGTCCTGGTGCCCTCCTGGGGCCCTTCCGAAGGTCTTCCAGAGTCACCGCCGGGGGACGGGAGGAGCGCAGTGCGTCTTCATGTGATGCACACAGACCTGGGCCTGTTCTGATCGACATCAGTGGGATTTGGGGTGTTTTGTGGGACCCAGACTTCACCCCGAACAGAGAGGCTAACTTTCCGCTACTCACTTAGAGCGAGATCCTCTGTTTTGCAGATGAACCTCCCTCCGCGTGCGGCGCGGGCCCCTGCCTGGGTCTGCCCTCCCGCTGCTCTGCTCAGTCAAAAAGAAGAGTTTCAGGCGTTTGCTTCGGATTCTCATTTTGAATTTTTAAACCTCTCCACCTCAGCAGCAACGTCAGTGGTCATCAAATAAAATAATAAGATGGGAAGGTGATTCTAATTAGCCTGTTTTCTCATTTGCTGATTGACATTCTCAAGAGAGCAATTAGCCTGCTTTAAAGGTAAAAGACAACTGAGTAATTATTTAACCTGTCTGGTGATTGATATTTAAAATCCAGGAAGTCAGAAGTAATAATGGGTGACTCCATCAAAAAAATGTGTAAAAGTAAGTGAGAACAGTTGGTAGCGTTTGATCCTGTCCCGCCTGAGAAGGTATCGGCCGGTTGTGCTGAGGCTGACTGCCGGGCCTGGACCCCGTTGCACTAAAGACGGGACAAACACGGCATAAAAAGATGGTTTTCAGGGACAAACACATATGCAAACAAACGCAACGTGAAGTCGTTAAACCTCGGTGGGTGCTGAGCAGCTCATGGCGCTGCAGTAGAGAGCCCGTGGGCTGTGCTGAGTGGTCGGGGAACCAGCACGGTCCCTTGCTGGATACAATGGGCGGCGAATCCTCTCATGAACATCAGGGGGACATTGCAGATCGTGACACACCTCAGCACAGCTGTCTTTTATCTGTTTGCAAAGCTACGGGAGGTAAAGAAAGAAGGAAGGGGAAGGCGGGACCTGAACAGACAGAGGCAATGCTGGGAACAGGTCGTTAGCGCCAGGTCAAGTGAGCAGCATCAATTAATCTCCAAGGGATTTGAAATATCATAGAAAATAGGGTGGAGGCAGAAGTGGTTTAGAGACAAATGGCACCACCAAAGGACCTTCAGTTTTATGATCTCAGATGAAGCTTGTTTATAAGGAGTATATAAAAGTAGAAACTGGTTTTTGTTGATTTTTTACAGCCCATTGCCTTTCTATATTTTTATAAGAGTAAAGTCACCATGAGGTTACTGTGGTGAGACCCACACGCGATCGCTCTCTCTGGGGAGCATGGGGAGAGCTGACCAGGTTTGTGGGTCCGACCCCATAGCAGTGGGTTGCCCGGCTCTGCAGTGCCTCACCTTCCCCGGTGCGTGTTGCGGGGACGCACGGGGTCCCCCCGGCCCGGTGAGCAGCCAGATGATGTGGCATCCCTCATTCTCTCAACGGCACAAGCTGATACTCTCCATTTTGCTCAAATGAAAAGGCTGCAACAATTATTTTCATAATTAGCTGGCTTTTCAAATTAATGCCAGTTATGCCATGTAATCATGATGAAGATTATGCATTAATCAGCTGTTTCAAGCCGGTTATTAGGCTCTTTAAATAATGATCGGAATGAACATCTCTGAAGGAGAGGCGCACAAGCCAAGAGGGACGGCAGCGCGCGGTGTGCTCAGTGCGCCCGGCTGCCGCGCGGATCGGCCCTCGGACGCACCCCGTCCCCCGCGTTCCTGCGGACAGCGCAGGCTGTGGCGCGCGGTGGCTGCTCTTCCACACCGCAGCAGCCGCGGTGGGTTTCACGCTGTCCCACTGTATTCAGCAGCCAGCGGTACAACCAGACATACGTTACTTCTGCCTGTCTGCTTTCCCATTGCCTGGCACTAAATTCAAGGCATTGGGTGGCTGCACAGAAAATTCTTTTCTGTCAAAAAGCCTATTATATCCAGTTGGATGTCTGGAACGGGAATTTATCTGGGATCAAACACCAATAATCCGCATACCCAGTCCTTCTGTATTCTATCATAATAAGACATGCTCCAAAGCAGCCTTGAGAGCTCTGGGCTAGGAGAAAGCCTCATGTCAGCTCGTTGATAATCAATGTAACATGAACCCCGTTATCACTTCAGAATGATGCTAGAAAACAAAAAAGCATTTGCTAAAATGTTCTGGACAGTAAAGCTTTGAACAGAAAGGCGGGGACGAATCTCACACTCACTTTAGTTTTGTTTATTGTTTCTGCTGTAGTATTGTGTATGAACTCTCTCTTTGCCCGAAGAAACTTGGATTGAGCTACCAGCATGTGCAGGCTTTGAGAAGGATAAATAATTTTCCTTGTACGGGTCAATAACCAAATGTTTTGGCACAATCCGGTGAGAATGAGGCACTGGGACAATTTTGCTCGGCTGCTGCCTGCACCGCCAGGCATTCTAGATTGAAACCCGGTCATAAGTGACTTGCCTGAAGACTGGATGGGGCTGAAATGGGTCTCCAGAGTGAGAATTCAGCCTTGTTTTCTTTATTCTTCCCCTTATTACCCAAGTTAGTACTCAGATCAGTAATATTTTTTTCTGCCAGAGACATGCAGTGAACAGCTTAAACATTTTTGGATGTTTATGAATGTAAATTAATTACTGCACTCACTTTACAACGGGGGACGCAGATGCTCAAAGTCTGCGGGAGGAGGGAAGTGACTTGCCGTGATCGTGGGGAGCGGAAGTCAGAGGCCTTTTGCAGCTTCCTCCGCACCCGCGCTGAGAAAACGGCCAAGCATCGCTGCTGTGGTTCGCTCAGCCCACGGCTTTGGGCAGGTCCCCAGGGGGACGCACAGAGCACGGCTGCCAACAGAGATGTCCGCTTGGCTCCTGCCACAGTGCCACTCTTGGCTTACACCAAATTGCCACGAAAACCACAGATAATGTGTTTTGGCTCCTGGAGGATTCGTGCAGTTGCTTGAAAGCTAGGAGGGCTGAGAAGACATCTGTTGTCTATAACAAAGCATTTTAGGTCTACCTTAAATGGAAGAGGAAGATTTTCCTTCTGCTAATGAACCCAGAGACCATCTGTTACCAATTGCACTTGCTTATCTCACTCATCCATTAATTATTTTGGTTTACTTTTTAATAAGACAGAGCAAGGTTTGTGTGTCTTTCCGTGGTTCCGTGCGGGGCGCAGGACGGTGCCCACATCTTGGAGACAAGGACATGCAATTACATAATTTACGCTTGCACCGAGTCACTTCAATTAGAGTGGCTGTCAGTGGGGAACTGAGGACAAGACTCACGGAGCCAAGAAACCCAGCGATGCTGTGACATGAGCTTGCCGCCCTTGGGGAGGTGTAATGGCATTAACAACTTTTGAACACGGGAAAGCATGCGTTCAAGATGTGCATTATTGAGCAGATAAGCTGTAGGGTAGGCAAATTCAGAAGTCTCTGTTGGTCTGAATTAAGAACTTGGATAACTAAACATGAGGAACAATAAAAGATAAGGAGGGCACTAAAAACGGCACTAAAAATAGCAAGCAGCAGTGCTGCACCGCCTCCCTCCTGCGTGAGGACTCAGAGATGGGTGGACAAGGCGGGGGGTCCAGCGTGGCACGGAGGGCAGCGCCGGCTTCGTACCGCAGGAGCTCCTCAGAGCCCAAACCTGGAGCGTCTCTGCCGCTGAGCAGTAAGCCTGTCCACACTTCCTGAAGTCTGATCCTACAGTTCTATGGGAAGCCATTCGTCTGTCTCATAAATAAACTCCAAGACTTTAAATTGGTCCCTTATTGCCCTGCAAAGCTGCCGTTCTGAGCCCTTTCATGGACAAAAACCCAAATGTTTTCGTGTCTCTATTTCAGCCCCGGATGTGTCCTGGGAACGAGCCTTGTTCAGCCTGCAAATGCCACAGCTCTGTCCAGGAGTTTTCTCACCCTTGCTACGTAAGGTTAATAATCAAACTTGCTGTGGCTTAACGCTGATTTTGTCTTGTCTTGCAGGAGGAATCTTTGAGTATGCGGATGGCCCCAATACCCAGGTTATGAGTGCTGAGGAGCAAGCCTTCAGATTTTCTGCCAATATTATTAATAGAAACAGAACTTTGTTGCCTAACACAACACTAACCTATGACATTCAGAGGATACACTTCCACGACAGCTTTGAAGCCACTAAGAAAGGTAAGAGCACAGCACACTTAGCAGCTTTGCGGGCGTTTAGTCTATAAGAAAAGGCACGGTCTGGCTTGAGACTCAGCAGCTCACTTTGTCCCGCTCTACTCAGTGATCGAGATTAGAAGTCCTCCAGGGGATGACCTTCCGGAGGTATTTTAATATAAGGGGAACAACTGTTCTTTTTTTCCTCTGCAAACCTCACAAAACTCCTTTCACTGTTTGCTTCTAATCCTGGGCGAGGGCCATGCCTTTGTTTATCCGAGTGCATCCCCGGCAGACCTCTGCCTGGCGCTCCGCCGTGCCGCGCGGTGGGGGGCACCGGGTGGGCTGCGCCGAGCGTTGGGACAGGAGCAGGACCCGCACCGGGGACACGTGCGTGTCTGGGGGGACCCCTGTGGCAGCGGTGGCTTTCCTAAAATCTTTTCGTGAAATGTAGCCGGCACAAAGCTCCCTTCCCTGCCCTTCCCCTTCCCTTTCCCGTTCCCTTCCCCTTCTTTTTCCAGCCTGTGACCAGCTCGCTCTGGGGGTCGTGGCAATATTCGGACCTTCCCAAGGCTCCTGTACCAATGCCGTCCAGTCTATCTGCAATGCCCTGGAAGTGCCCCACATCCAGCTCCGGTGGAAGCATCACCCGTTGGATAACAAGGACACTTTCTACGTCAACCTCTATCCCGACTACGCCTCGCTCAGCCACGCCATCCTGGACCTCGTGCAGTATTTGAAATGGAGGTCAGCCACCGTGGTGTACGACGACAGTACAGGTGGGTAAAGGAGGGGCTTTGAAGGAGGAATTCAGGGGGTTATTTGTTGTGGGTCCCATTTAGGAGCTTTTCTAATGGACCCTTTTAGGAGCACAATGACACCGCGAGCAGAGCTCAGTGCGCGGGGACAGACGCGTTCCCCACCGTTCAGGCGAGCGTTGCAGACAGCCCTGGCACCCTTTCTGAAGCATTTCATTCCCAAAGCGCTCGGGAATTGGGTAACCCTGAGCACCACCGCCGCTGGCAAAGGGTCAAAGGGAGGATTAACTCTCCGCTGGTGCGGTCTGGCTCAGCGCAGCTGCGTTTGGCCCCGCGGTGCCTATCAGCACAAGCAGAGACCTCGGTCTGCGCCCGTCGCTGAGGGTGCCGTTTCCCAGCTAAAAGTAAAAGCAGTTCTGGGAAGTTTTTTGTTTTCTGGCTAATTCTATAAAACATAGCTGACAAAGTTTTTCACGTAAAGAAAGCTGTTGACAGTTAAACAAAGCACAGCACTGCACGGCATTATAGATAAAAAAACCCCAAAACAAAAGACACGTTGGATAGCCTGTCCAACCTAATTCCACTAAACCAAATGGTTTCTTTAGGGGAGGGCTGATGAGAACACAGTTTGACATTCCTGTTTTGCAAATGTGGGTCACAGTATGTTCCCTTCGTGGCATATTCTAATGTACTCCTTCCTCTATGCAGAGGGACATGCTTCTCTCGTCCTCCTTCCAATAGGCATCTGCTGAATTTCTTCTTGCAACATTAGATACCAATAATTCCTGCTCAGCTGCATCCAGCATGGCTCTGTACCTTCTGCATAAAAAAGAAATGAATTCTAAGGGTAGAAAGAAAGTTACAAGTTGTGATTAAATGACCGTTATAAATTACGCTATTCATAAATCTAAGCCCTTATTCATTTTTTTCTTTTGCGGTTGTGCACTGTAAATACTGCAGGTTTTAATTTGTTGTATAAGTGATTATCACATTCTGTCCTTTCTCAAGGGCATATTTGCTTAAGAAAAGACGTTGTGATCCCAGAGATGTCAAAGTTTAGGACCAATCTTCTCTGTTCTTCCCATCCTCCCTAGTGCAGGGAGCCCAGCTCTACCGCGGGTGGACGCGGGGGCAGCGGGGAAGCACCAGGAGAGGCCACACTGCCTCAGAGCAACTGCTCTGGAAATGTCCGGGGTTTTGAGGATTGACACATCAGAGCTTGGCTTTGAGATGTCTTTAGCACCGGCCATTCGAGGGAGGGGGACAGTCTTGGTGGCATTCCGTAAAATAATATGGGAAGAAATAACTTGCAGACAGACCCAGCCTGCAGGGCAAAGGCAGACGTTCCCGTAACACTGTGGGTTTGTCTTTGTGCGACGCGTGAAGGCCTCATACGGCTGCAGGAGCTCATCATGGCCCCATCGAGGTACAACATCCGGCTGAAGATCCGCCAGCTCCCGCTGGACACCGACGATGCGCGGCCGCTGCTGAAGGAGATGAAGCGGGGCAGGGAATTCCGCATCATCTTCGACTGCAGCCACCTGATGGCGGCTCAGATCCTCAAGCAGGTGAGCGGGGGGCGACGGGGGGCCGAGCAGAAGTGGCCACTGAGGGCCCCGTGCGTATGGGGTGGCCGTGCTGCGGAGCGCCCCGCAGACGGGTGCAGACCCGCAGCTTTCCCTCACCCACAAGCTACCACACACGCGTTCTTCACAGGAGTTCTGCAGAAAATGCAGTTTTCATTGAAAAACTGGAAGTGTCACAAATTCTTACTGTCAGTAAGAATGAACAAGCGTTATGGGAGGAGAAGGTGCCAGGCGTGTGTGCCGAATGCGGCGCGGAGCCCGGGCTGTCGTCCCGCTCCTCTGCGGCCGCGCAGCCCCTGTCTCTGTCTCTGCCGCTGCCCGCAGCTCCGGGACACTTCTGCCACTCTTCATTGAGCCCCATACGGGCTTTTCATGCTTGCCGATTTTAAATATCTTCTTTCCCTTCTGTGCTGCTCCATGCTCCCAGGTTTGTGAGTCCATGCCCCTGCCGGGCAGGGTATAAACCGCTTCATTTTGGTTATCTATTTTCTAGTTGCGCACACCGTCCGGTGTCTCGCCGCGAGCAGCCGCGCCGGGGCCAGCCGCTGTCCCTTCATGGGCACCGTGTGCAATTCTTGGACTTTAAGCCAGATGTCAGTGATTTTCCATTCGTTTGTCTCTCTCCTTTCTCCCTGAGTTCCTCCACCGGCATTTTTCGCAGAGCGGGTTTGCTGCTCGCCCCATCTCCTCCTCATTTCCAAGTGCCTTTAGGTTTCAGGGTCAATACGAGGCAGAGGAAAACGCTCTCACAAAGAATGCTAAAAACCAGCCGGTGGAAGTGCTGCGCATATCAGCCCAGCACGACACTGCCACATAGATTAAGTAAATCCCCCGAAGGGCTGAGAAAGCGAGCGCACGGAGAGACTGCTCGTGCAGCCTGCTTGATGCAAAATGAAGGGAAGTGCTCAGAGAAATCAGAAAGCCTGGGAGGGATTGTTAAAGAAAGCAATATAAGGGACTCATTGTCTCCCGCCTATTATTTTAACATGCTGGCTGTGTTTGGTGCTGTTCACTTATTATGCAGTTTATTATAGTTTATTGTGCCATCTGCTCCGCTCATGGCTGTGAGTGCAGAGTGAGGAAGATGGAGGAGAGGGGGGACCAGGGGGAAAGAAGCCTTTCTGAGTCCCTCTGGCTGGTTTTGTGTGCGTGTTGGGTTTTTTTCAGACCCAAAGCCATGGATTTCAGCTTAGCAATATTATACAGTGTATTTTTACTCAGGGAAAAACTGTTAAATATTTGCAGAGTTTGGGCAGGTGCACAAACCCAAACCGTATCCTGACTGGTCTCCGCACACCCGGTGCGTGCAGCGGGAGGCTGTGAGCGGCACGCACCGAGACCCGCCTGTCTCTCCCACTGTTGGCACTCACATTTGCAGAAGAATGAGGAAGCGCAGAAACCTCGTCTTTTCCCAATTTTTCTACCCATATCAAGAAATGCACACTTAGAGGTGCCACCTTCACTTGTGAAACGGCTGTTTTCTTTTCCATAGGATGCGATAGAAAACCAGGCATCCCCATCCCTCTCCACACTGCCCTCCTTGTGCTCTGCTTTGCACATTCACTGAACGTACGCGCTGGGGAAAGCCAAAACCTTCTCCTGGGAGAGGGGAGTCTGCTTTTGCTTTGCAGTATTAGAAGACCAACACAGGGGGAAAAAAAAATTGGCTGCAAAAAATGTCAAGGAAGAATGGCCCGGTCTTCTCTTTGTCCCAGAAATAGTGATATTCATATATTATTGCTATTATTTGCCTTTTGTAACATTCCAGTAACTACAGCAGTTAGCTCTGCGGACATTTGGCTGCTGCTGTTGCTCCCTGGAGCCTCTCGGCTGCGCTGCCCACGCCAGTGCAGCGCTGACGGATGGCAAAGGGTTCTCTCAAGACTCGTGCTAAAATTTCCACCATTTGGTACTGATTTTAACTGCGCATCTTTAGGTAACATAAAGTGGTTTGAGCACCTACAGCCTTCATTGACCAAGGTAGCTCCCAGCCAGCATCCAGCCAGCCCAGGTCTTGCTCCCAAGTTATTTCAGGTACCACACTCCCACAGCACACGAGTAGCGAGGCGCTTCACTGATGATCTGCGCAGCATTTTTAAACTAGATTAGTAAAAAAACCCACGGGTTAGTAATCCATGAATAACAACACAAGAGCTGGCACAGAGATGCACAGATGACATTGCCACATATTGCTCCAGTCTGTGTTCCTTGGAGCGACTGAGACATCAAACTGTTCATTATTTTACCCTCTTGGACAAACAGATCATGGTAGAAAGCTATCACAGAGCTCGGCCGGCTCATGAGGCCTTCCCATCCTACCCCAGCTTCTCTGGCCTTGCTCATTTTTGGTCACTCGTTAAAGCGTTACATCTGTTCTCTGGCTTCCCGGCTTCTCTGTTCTCCTTGGCAGCTGCCTCCGAACAGTTGCTGCACTCTGCAGCGCACAGATGTGCCTGTCTTAACTTTAATGGAGCTCCCATTCCGTCCTGGTGATTGCCTGTAGCTTATCCACCAGGTTTATCATTTATTCATTTCCCCACAAACCCAGACGTATCCTGCGCATGGGCTGCCAGGACTGGGAAGCCAGGGCTTGCTTCTTCATCTGCCACTGATCCAGCTGTAGAACCTCAACTGGAATCTCATGATTTACTCTCAACTGGTTTCACATCATCTAATTGATGCTTCACATACTGAGGCTCCAGCTCTTTGCACGCGGGTGTGGGTCTGGAGAGCTGCGACGCAGCCCCATGGATCCATGGGCCCGGCAGGGAGGAGGGGGACAGGATGGCGCACGGCCGCACAGGCACCTGCCCAGCTTTCCACACGGTATTTCCAGGCCAGAAAGCATGAGATAAAGTCACACTCTAGAGTTACAGTATCTGGGCTTGTAATCTAGATCCTTTGCTTTTCTCTTGCTGTTTGACATCTCACTTCTTTTCAAACCGTCACTTACTTCCTCGGAGCTAAATTCTGCCCTAGTAATTTTAGCAAAAACCAAGGGAAGCAAATGTTTCCTGGGGCGACTTGAAGTCGCTTTCCCATCGGTAGAGATTTTAAAGTGCTCTTGCACGTGTTTTCTCCAGAAAACACGCTCATGGAGTCAGCATCACAGTCAAAACCATGGGTATCTCTTTCCTTTAGCCAGCCACCAACTTCAAGGTGACCCTTCTCATAGCCAGAAACGCGTTCCCCTCGCGTTGTGTGGGGCCTGGAGAAGGTCGTCCAGCCCAGGTCCGTTCAGCCCACAGTCACTCTCTGACAAACCTCCCAGAACAGCATGTTCTCTCCACTGCTCAGTTATGCAGATCCCACCAATCTGCACAAACCATCCGTCTTGTCGGGGCTGGCACACCGACAGCTTGGGCTGGCCAAGAGCTCTCAGGTCTGGACCACGCTCTCCTAGGGCGGAGGGATGGGAGATGTCCCCGCTCCCCATCCCTGTGCCTCTACTTTTACTGACCCATTTCTAAAGCGGGCGCTGCGGTAGAGCCCGGCTGTGGTACGCGGGAAGGAGGGATACACAGACAAGAGCTAAATGTACTGTTACATGAACAGACACTGAAGGGGAGGGGATGCAGAGCACCAGAAATACACATGTAAGACATAAAAAGCCTTTTACTTAGCTTCTTAGCCAGTGCACGGGCTTGTAGCCACAAGGAGAGGATGCTTTACGGTTATTCTGCACAGGTTTATGCAGGTTGCTCATTGTTCAGTATCTGAGAAGGAGAGGCAACCCCCTTTCTCCCCGCCACACCGTCAGAAGCAAATCTGTGTCCCTGGAAGGGTTTGCGCCGTCCGTGAGCCGTGAGCACAGCGGTGTGCCGCAGCCGGTGTCCCGGCTTTCTGTGGCACAGCAGCACCCAGAAATGCCACCGGCCTCCATGAGAGCTGGACACCGAGGCTTTGCCTCCGTCGCAGAAAGGTTGGAGGACCACAGTTCGGCTCAGCGCTGAAGGACGTGCCTCTGGCTGGCCAAGCATGAGCTTAACAGCTTCACGGGACCGACCCACAATCCACCTTCTGCGTTTCTGGGTCTGCCTCCTCCCGCGGGTACCAGATCCGCTCTGCAGAGTTTTGTGTTGCATGACTGTTGTTATATTCTCGTGTCCACTCTAACTAACCTCCTTTCCCTTTTTTGGCCATGGCAATGGGAATGATGACAGAATACTACCACTTCATCTTCACCACTCTGGTAAAGTATCTAATCCGTGCAAACACCTTTTACACTTACGAGCCAGAATGGGAAGTGAGGAGGTCGTTTTGGCGGCAGGAGCGCGCTGGGTGTCCTGTCTCTGGCGTGCACGGCACCGCTGCAGGACACTAAAGCGGTGGGGTGGGAAGAGCAAGGGGAAGGGAGGGCTGGTACCCCGACAGAGGGTGAGAGCAGGGCGAGACCCAGCTTCAGGCTAGAATCAGACCACGGGGGTTTGGTTGGCACATCTCTGCGACTGCGGCATTCTCCGGGTGCTCATTCTGAGAGGCGTCAGTGCGTTTGGACTGGCTCACTCCTTTGGAGCTGCTCCGGCTTTGCACAGATGTAGGTTCTGGTTTTATTTCCCCTCCCAGTCCTTCGGGTTTCAGGGCAGCCACCCACGCACTGAGAGATGAGCATACGTGTGACTTTGTGAGGTTGTAGTCCCACAGACAGGATTTGGTGGGACGGAATTCAGTAAGAACTGGCTGTGTGTTTCCCTGTGTTCACCTAGGTCTGCCTTAAACGGCAGGAGCAGCCCTGCTGTGGGCAATAGTTCAGTACTGCAGGTTTATTTTGCATGAGAAGAACTCAGCTTGAAATTAACTCCACTCTCATTAAACACGGGCCAGTTCTTCTCTGACTCCAGGAGGCATTTTGGTTTGGGTTTTTTGGTGTGCCACTTTTGTTTCCATTTAGGATGCTATTGTCTAATACACTGTTGAATTTTGTGTGATTTTGAAAATCCAATTTATCTTTTTGCCTTTAGGAAAGAAACAGACTAAACTAACCCTTAAAAACTGCAAAATTTATTTTTCAAATGCAAAAGACGTTTTAATTACCCCTACTGCCATTATCTATTCCAGGCAGCTTTAAGCATTTCCCAGATAACCTCCTATTAATCAGCCCCAGCTGAGCCCAGAGTACATTTCATGGGTAGGTACAGCCTGGAGGTGGGAAAAGAAGAATTATAATAAATTAATAGATAAGCAATCACAATTAATGCCACTTTCCTGAAATAACAGTTATATCATGGGAAAGATATTTTAATCTGTCATTCCTTAAGGCAATGTTTTCCTCGCTTGCAATGCATGTGCTTCGGCTTCTACGGTACTAGACCCATGGGGTGCTAATGAATTAGTCTATTATGTTACACTGAATGTTTCTAAAAGGTCCCTAGTCAATACTGAGCACAGTGTATCAACACTTGGCATGAAATGCTTCAACATTTTGCTAGGCAGCAAGACTACAGTTCACCGACTTCAGCGTGAAGAGCTCCATCAGCCTTTTCCACCGGAGGAGGAGGAGGAGGAGGAGCTCCTCCAGCCTTCAGCTAATGCACGCGCAGCTTTTACACCCCGCAAAGTCCCAAGCAGCGACGACCCCCTTAAACTCAACACTGCCAGGAATTTCTCAGCAGCTTGTGCAAATGAGTCCTCGCAAATACAGAAGTTTTCCCGCTGCCTGCTGCCGCTGCTGCTGCCCACGGCAGTCAGAGCCGGGCAGGAGCGGGAATCGCTCCCCGTGCCTCGAGTCGGCGCAGACAGAGCTCACC